CACCACCACGTCCCGTGAGCACGAACGGCGAAGTCGGCAACAGCGGCCAGTTTCGATTAGAAGGCGCCAACGCGCACTGTCCGTCGTCGGCGTTCGGCGTGGAGGCGGCCACGACGGAGGCACCGGCGGGGCGGCGGCTCTTGGGCGCGCACCGCAACTCCACGCGGCCGCGGGGGGCACGCACTCGCTGCGCGCGGGGGAGGGAACCCGCCTCGGCCTCCGCTCCCTCCCCTCCCACCCGGCGCTGAGATCATGTCAGGTGCGCACAGTTTATGGGCGCTTTTGAAGACCGCACCAATCCCCTACACGGTGAACCAAAAATAATAATAATGACGATGATGATCTAATGAAATGTGTATAAAGTGGCGTGCGAGTCTGGGTGGCGTGTTGGCGGGCTGCCGCGTGAGCGGTGCTGATTGGGTGGGGGGTGGTGCTCACAGGGGCCGTGTGGGAAATCGAGCCTCTTAATGTCGGGTCACTGTGGGAGGCGGAGGAATACGAAGAAGGCGGGGAGCGGCGGCGGTGGTGGTGGTGGCTTTTTATCTTTGTGGGAATGCGTGGAGGAGGGAATGGTGTAAGGATGTTATGATGGTCAGAGGGCCACTGATACTCTGTGCAGGCCATGTGTGTGCGTGCGTGGGTTATGTTACTTGAAGGCGAGGTGAAAGTGTGTCTTTATAAGTACTGATATTTAATACATGCGTGTATGTGGGGAGCGGAGGCACAGTGGTTAGCGCGCTTGCGCTGCGAACCCGGCAACACGAGTTCGATTCCCGCTCACGTTCAACACCGGTGATGATTATTTGAACTGGTTCTGGGCCTCCCCTAGGTTGACTCGGCCTGAAATGAGTACTTGGTGCGTTGTGTAAACATCGCCACTGGGGAAACGAAGGTGGTCTGGCATGGTGTAGGCTACCCACCTTTCATAGGTGCTCGCTAACAGCACTTGCCCTAATAGTCTGTTCAGGCTATACTGGGGGGGGGGGTCTTGGTCTTTTGTGTGAATTCAGATTCTGGACAAAAATCTGGCGTAGGGCCTTAATGGACTTTTTCGGGTGCAAGTGCTGTTAGTGGGCGCCTATGAAGGTGAGCACGGCACACGAGGGGGTGGGTGACCAGCACCCACGCTGGCAGATTATGGGAGGGAGAAGCATTTTGGTGACAGTGTTTGACTTGGGATCATAAGGTCACGAGTTTAAATACCGGTTCGGAATCGACTTAGTCCATCGCTATCATTATTATTATTTCTTTGAAGAAGCTAAAACAAAGAACCTTTGTTCTGAATCGGTCATCCCGTGGAGAGACTGGCACCCACCGCAGGAGTGTGGAATTACCGCCGCTGGCTCAGGACCGGCATCATAGATTGCGACGGGCCCCACGCTCAGTTTTTGGGTTAGATCGCGTAAATACAAACGTGTCATTAATCCCGCCACCATCCGATACACAACCAGTTAAGGTTTGTCACGTAAACAAAACATGGCCATTCGTGGCTACTTCAAAACACCGGTGTGTTGGAGAGTAAATCCACGACAGTTACAATTCGAGTACCGAGACATTTCGCCAGTAATTACGACTAGCATCATCAGGCGACAGCCAGAGTTTTATGCGATCTGGGAAAATAGATTATCAAGCGTCCGCTCTGAGTTGTAGCGATGACCGCATTAGAGGGAGAGCTGCGGGAGGACCACCAAGCACGCCCGGCGTGTCGGTGCCACGGCCCCCACGCGCGCCGTAATCGAGGAGCGCATCGTACTCTGCAGCCACGCTCCGCCCCCGCCCCCCCCCCTGGCGTGCGTGTTCTCAGCGGCGATCGGTCTCACCGCGATAAACGTCGCCCAGAAATGCGAGCGGTCAGACCTCTGGCCTGGTTCGTGTTTTTTTTTTGTCCTAATTTTAATTTCCAGGGGGCCCACTTTGCCCGTATTATTACTATTATAATCGGGTTTTTTTTTGTTTGCACGATTTTGAACAAAGCTGACTTTTTTTTGCCATTTTACCAGCCCCCCACCCCCCTTCTTTCCTCCTCCCCCTCTGCGCTGCGCCGGGGTAATAAGCGAGCGCCGGCTCGCGGGGACGCGGGAAGACCGCTCGCCGTCGTTCCCTTTGTAACCGGATCCGCGCGCGCTGCCCACAAGGGCGGCCGTGTGGTCGCGCGGCGCTCTGAGTGCGCCCCATTCAGAGCGCTTGGCCTGCCGGGGCACTTAATTTAATAGCGGCAACTTAATTAAAGGTTTGCCTTCGCAGGCCGCCCCATTAGCAGCGTCCGATCTAAGGAGAACATTCATGGAGGTGGCTGGGTGGCTTGGGTGGTGGGGGGGAGGGGTGAGGAGGAAGAGGTGGGGGGGGGGGTTGGGCCGGGTTGGGGCCGGGGTTACCTGGATGAGAGACTGGGGGGCAGCTGGCACAGCACCGAATTGGCGGATGTGGCGCCGCGCCCGCGGTTCAGCCCGGCGGCGCGTGTGGCCGCGCCTCGGGGCTCGTGCATCGAGAGGCGATGGTCTCAGTGCGGCCGGAGGTGATTGCTCGGTTTTGGTAGCGGTGGGTCGTCGCTCGGTCGCTCGGAATGGATTCTATACACTTGCGCAAATCACAGCGTGTAATAGGAATTATTTGTCACAATTTGTTCACATTTTCCGCAAATTGTTACCTTGAGTCGCACGGAGCGAACAAAACTGTACAAAGGAGAGACGGCGGCGACAAACGAGAAATGATGAAATCGCGATGGCACCAACGGGACGAACAATTATGCTTTCTTGAGTCAAATTACTTCTTCAGTAAAATTACTTCTTTGGATCGTGGCAGTAAATGGAATCGGTGAGCGGAGAAATCTCGCCATCACCAGGGACGACAGCTTGTTTTATTACAAGATAATTTGCATCTTTGTGGAGAATATAAGTCACAAAGTAAATGAGCAGATTTCGATTTAAAGCTTTCGTGACTGCAGGGATTCATCTTCTTGGTTCTTTCGGTAAAGTCACATAGAATGGAAATAATAAAATAATAAAAATAAAACATAATAAAATAATTTTATTATTTCCATTCTACGTGACTTTACCGAAAGAACCAAGAAGATAAATGAGCAGACTTTACGACTCTCCGTTTACCTGTCCCTCCACGTAAAAAAAAGCGTTTTTTTACACATCGCATCAGCCATACACCCTTCTGGGAGTGTATAGTTTCAGCAGCATTGTTTCAACCGGTTTTGACCAAAAGTGTCTCATCAGCAGTCAGCCTTCCTTGAACCAGTGCTGGTCAACTGCCAGATGTTTATAGGGAAGGAGCTATAATGTAGCTTTTGCCCCAGGGCGAAGATGACCAGCGAAGTACTTTTCTGTTTGTACACATTGACTGAGTTGGACGAGTCGTTTGTCTCCTGAGCCGTGCACGTGTTTGTGTGTTCGTGTGCGTGTAACTGTGAGCGCAGGTGTGTTAGTGTGTGTGTGTAACTGTGGGGAGCGGTAGTGTAGCGGTTAGCGCGCTGCGCTTTGCACCCGGTGACCCGGGTTCGATTCCTGCTCACGGCCAACACCGGTGACAATGATCTGAACCGGTCCTGGGCCTCCCCTAGGTCGACTCAGCCTCAAATGAGTACCTGGTGCGGTGTGTAGTAAACATCGCCACTGGGGAGACAAAGGCGGTCGGGCGTGGTGCTGGCCACCCACCCCCTCGTGTACCGTTGCGGCCTCCATAGGTGCTCGCTAACAGCACTTGCCCCTACAGTCTGTTAAGGCTATACGGGGGATCTTTGTGTAACTGTGAGCACAGGTGTGTTAGTGTGTGTATAATTGTGTGGAGAGCAATGGTGCAGTGGTTAGCGCACTGCACTACGAAACCAGCGGGCCTAAGGTTCCTGCTCACGACCAACATGGGTGACAAATATCTGAACCGGTCCTGGGCCTCCCCCTGGCCTCCCGAGTCTTAAATGAGCACCTGCAGTGTAAACGTCGCCACTGGGAAGACAAAGATGGCTCGGCGTGGTTCCCGCCACCCACCCTCTCACGTGCCGTAGCGGCTTTCAAAGGTGCTGCCCGCTAACATCACTAGCCCCAGCAGCAGCCTGCTAACGAGCTACGGTGGGTGATCTTTGTCCTCGTGTTCCACTGCGCCTGTTTTGGCTTCGCTTCATACGTCCCCCCTCGCAGCCTCCTAATCGGGGGGGCCGAGGCGGCAGGAATCATAGAGACGACGGACGTAGCGATGAGCGCAAACACGTGGCGCGGGTTGTTTTTTTTTTGTAACGAGATGGTAAAAAAAAGTAGTATAATATTTTTTTTTATCACGTGTTTCTGGCCATAAAAAAATCTCATTGAGTGTTGGAATATTGGCTCAGTTTTCTTGAAGAGCTTTGTGGGGCTTCAAGCGGACTGCTCGGAGGAATCCCACGCCTAGGTGAGGAGAACACTCGTACTGCTGTGCACGATTTGGCTGTCAGAAACAAAAAACATCTGCTTGCTGTACTCACCCATCTGATTTTTCACATCAGTTATAATATTTGGTCAGATTTATATTCTCCTGTTTCATTCGGTTAGCGCTGCGGTTTGAGCGATTAGCTCACTTGTATGCATGTGTTTGCTTGTGTTTATATATTTGTGTGTGTGTACGAATATGAGCGAGAACAGCACATGCCCCAACAGTCGCACTTTGTCTGCTCAGCAATCGCTGGTGTGCGTGAGTGTGGGGAGCTGTCGTGTAGCGGTTAACGAGCTGCACTCGAAACCCACTGACCCGAGTTCGATTCCCGCTCACGGCCGCCAACGCCAGTGGCGATTATCTGAACCGGTCCTGGGCCTCCCCTCGGTTAACTCGGCCTCAAATGAGTACCTGGTGCGATGTGTAAAAACATCGCCACTGGGGAGACAAAGGCGGCTGGGCGTGGTGCAGGCCACCCCACCCCCTCATTTACCGTGACTGCCTTCGTAAGTGCTCGCTAACAGCATTTGCCCCAACAGTCTGCTAATGTTATATGGGCGATCTTTGTGTCTGCGTGTTGCTCATGCCAGGCCTCGCTGGAGAACAAGAGAGGGCCTTCGTTCCACTCCACCAGGATCCGCTACTACGACAAGACGGTCACCTGCCGCAACTGTGACAAGCAAGGCCACCTCTCCAAGAACTGCCCGTCTGCCAGGGTGAGCAGCTCTCAGTCGGGATGCAGCCTGTCGGCGGGGGGGGGGGGGGGCTCTTGGTTGTCGATATTAAGCACCGAAGATCAGCACCGATGATCGGCACCCCAGTGCTCGCCACCAACGCTCTGCACTACCGCTGGGCACACCGATGCTCAGCACCGACGCTTTGCATCGACACTGGGCATTGACGCTAACCACACTGATGTTCGGCACACTGACGTTCGGCACACTGACGCTCAGTACCAACTCTGGGCCTACCGACGCTCGACACACTGACGCTCGGTATTGACGATCGGCCCTAGTGCTGAGCCAGTGGGTGTTGAATCCTCCAATGATGTTGAGGACTCTATTGACCAGGCTGACTGTTTCGTTTAATCCACTCTGTTCGACCACCACCACACTGCAGGTCACAACAACAACTCATCCTCTCACTCACTCACCCACCCACTCACTCACTCTTCCACTCACTCACTCACTCACCCATTTACCCACTCACTCACCCACTCACTCACTCACTCACCCACTCACCAACTCACTCACCCACTCACTCACTCACCCACCCACTCACTCACCCACCCATTCACCCACTCACACACCCACTCACCCACTCACTCACCCACTCACTCACCCACTCACTCACCCACTCACTCACCCACTCACTCACTCACCCACACACTCACCCACTCACCCACTCACTCACCCACTCACTCATCCACTGACCCACCACACTGGAGGTCACAACGCTTCTCTTTCTGCTTCTTTCCTCGCACTGCTCCACTTTGAAGTTCCCTTCCTTAATATATTTTCCAAAGTTATTAGTATCATTACCTTGATCATTTAAGTGTTTTAACAGTATATTTTTGTCTTAGAATATTGCTTCTGTTGATGGGGTTGGTGGGGGGGGGGGTTGCGGTGAGATCTTGTCGCGATGTTATTGTTTGTGCTGAATATTTAATTATCCTTTATTCACGTTGTGATTCACAACCAGTTGTTTGCGCAGTGTTCGTTTTTGCTCGGAGCGTTTTATCCCCAGGTCTCCGCTGCGAGTGAGCTCTCTGTCTCGGTGGACTTTCCCCAAGTTCTGGTTCATTCGTTGACCAGAACCAAGCCGTGTATCCAGTCGGAGTCGTGTTGCCTACAACGTCGTCGGCTTCTCTTTAATTATTGTGTTAACGTTCACAGGGTCGTTTGAGCTTCTCCCCACTCGAGGAGCACGAGTCATCGGCGGGCTTGAACCAGCGGTGGAAATTCCACATTCACGTGGTCGTGGTGACGGGTTTATCCTTACGAGGACCACTCGTGACTCATCAACCCTGGAGAAACTGATTGGGCCGTGTCCTCCCCCCGGGCGGAATTTGAACTCGCGAATTTCCCACTGTCAATTCATTGCTCAGCTAAAGTGCCGCCTGGCCAAACTGTCAATGGCGATATTGGTTGTGGCAGCATTGGCAATTCCACATTTCTGTGGACGGTGCTGGTCAGGTCTTGCTCGTGCTTGAATCATCCTTGAACAGCTTTAAAAAAAAAAAAACACGTAAAGGCCGCAGTCTCTGGCCTGCAGCGAACAGATCTTCTCAGGGAAATAAAACTGAGATGGGTAATAATAATACTGCTAGTGAGAGAAGAACACCCAACTATAGAACATGGTACTTAAACTAAATAACCCCTTACACAAGATCTGCGGGCCGGGTGATGGAAGGCAGCACTGTCGGCAGAAAGGTTAGAAGCGCGTACTAAAAATTAATGGTGTAGAAAGCGCTCCCGAACAACACAAACAACTTGGCCCATATGTCAGCCGTATTTTAACAACAACAAAAAAGCGCCCAAAAAAAATTCTAGGGAAATGGGCCCGATTTTAACTGGCTTAAGTGCGTCTGCTTAAAATGTTAAGCGCTTCCCCCCACAGCGTTTTGTCACGGGCGCCAAACGACAAAAGGCAAACGTCTCCGTCGCGGCACAGACGCCGCGATCCTCGCGACGCGAGTTTCATCCCCAGACATCCACGACACCAGTGGCAGGTGCTGTCTGAATCTCGGTCTCGGGCTCCCCCTCCCCCAGGTCGACTCGGGGTTAAATGAGTACCCGGCGAGGCGGTTTGGTCAGCGTCTCGTCGGGACTGGGAAGACAAAGGCGGCCGAGTGCCGGGCGTCTGTACCGGAACACTCCGTCCGCTTGGCGTGCAGTGCGGCACGTGATAGTTGCTCGCAAACAGCACCTTGCACGGTTTGGTTTAGGAAATGCGTAATCATCTCATTGTCCTAACCGCTATTCGAACGCATTGCTGTTAAATGTTGAAGCGATATGGGTAATACAGTTACGTCGTTCTGTACAGCAGTTAAACGTGAATGGAGACAATGCTTAAATGTGGAGTTCTGGCTAGGGCCATCCTTGCACATGCTTTTTATGAAGTATGCCCCAGGGTCATCAAAGTTCATAGAATGTTACGAGTTATGCTCTTAGCAGTCATCACCTCTGGGCACTGAGGTGGCGAAGCTCATGTCTCTACGTGTTGCATGTGGGAGCCTGTGAGTGCACCGCGGCTCAAAGTCAAAGCGTCCGCCTGGCTCACACGAGCCCCCAATTGCTCATTCCTCGAGTCGTGGTCACTCTTGTCTACGAGGCAACCGCCGGTGACTCCTCCCGGCAGAGGGATGCGCATGACTCATGGTGATGATGACGGACCTGGTCAACCAGCGACCGGGATTTGAACTTGCGACCTTCCGCTCGCGAGTCGAGTGACCGTGGCGCCCCCCCCCAACCTCCCCCCCCCCCCCCCCCCACTGCCACGTGCGGCGCGACGTCGGTTCGCACTTCAGTTCTCGCGCCCAAACAAACTTTTTCCGCGGCATTTTGCAATTTCAGCTCGACCACCCCCACCCCTCCCTCGTGGCCCCCTCCCCCCCCACACACGGCTCGCCGGCCGGCACCGCCACCCCGGGCGCGCACCTCCAGAAATGTGGCTGCCAGCCGCAGATGAGGACAAATCTTTCTCTCGGCGAACGAGACTGCGAGGGGTTACGGCAAAACTGCGAGCGAGCGGGCCGGCGTGTGCGCGCGTGCGTGCGTTTGGGGGGGGGGGGGGGGGGGGGAGGGCCTAGGTAGGGGCTCGCGAGGCGTGCGAACTTTAGCGGAACGGCAAGGCGAGCCATTGCACCCCATTCTTATTTTTTATTTTCTCCTCTCTCTCCCTTTCCTTCTTTCTTTTTTTCTTCCCCCCCCCTCCACTCTCACCCCCCGCTCCCCGCCCCCCTCGCCGTCGCTTATGTTTTAGGAGGCGCGGGGACCTGTCACGCCGGTGATGGATCGTTATGGAGCCTTGCAATTTGCGCGGAGATTTAGACGAGGCTGGCCCCTCTCCCCGCCAAGGCGCAAACTTTTTTTTCCCTCCCTCCCCCCCTGCTCTTGACGCGGGCAGCCCCGCGCGCGGTATGAAAATCGGCGCCGAGCAGGTTAAATGTGCCCGTTTATGAGGCAGAACCGGAGTACAACGGCAGAAATGAGGCTGTTAACATTTCAAGGCGGCCGGCAAGATAAATGAAACGCATAGGCAAATCGCCGAGTTTGGGATGATGCCTTCGGCTTTCGTTTTTTTCTTCTTCCCCCCCCCCCCCCCCCTTTCACGCTTACGCACGCGCTCGGTATTATAACACGTGAAATTAAAAATCAGCCAGCTCTGAAACAGCCGCCGTTTAAATGTGCTACGTTGCCGCGGGCCCGCGAACTTCGCCACCGTCAATGGCTGCCTTCGCTCGCCACTCTTTCTCCCTCTTTGTTTTACGGCCTATCGCAGCCTTCGCAAACACGCTTGGCGTGCCGTGCCCCCCCCCCCCCCCGAAGCCGGCCACCCCCCTCCTCCCTCGGCCCCCCACCCACCTCTTGCGTGCGTTTGGCTCCATACGGGCGCCCCCCCCTTTCTACCACCACGGAGTAGCGGTTCGGCGAGGGACGGAAATCGCCTGCATTTGACACGGCTTGGCGACCGGCGATCGCCGCCGTAGAGGGCTTTTAATTAAAGCGACCAGTGTCCGCGATTGAGAGCGGCACGTTAATTGATTTAGATGGAATTGGCGACGACGATTTTCCTCCGGTGGAGGTGTATTAATTTTAATGTATCTGTATTAATTGGGGGACATCGTTTAAAGCGAGCACCGTTCACTTTATTGATGTCTTTGAAAGTGACCAGCGTTCGACTTGAGAGGTCCAGTGTGTTTGCTCTACGTACGGACGTGGCCGCTCTTGGGATTCCCATAGGGGTGTTGTTATGAACTAGACTCCCATTCACTTTCAGAGAGCTCTGTAGATGCAGATGCAGCCTATTAAAGTGGCTATCATTGCCTTTAATAGAGCTCAAATAAATACACCTGTTTTTCAAAGAGGCCGATCAAAGTATCTGTAATTCACTTTCGTATGTTAATATATTGTTACAATTCACTTATGTAGAGCTCTTTTAGTTCAAGTGACTCTCACATTCAAACGGCCATAATCAAGTAAAGATATGGACCGGTTTCAACTTCACTGAGCCTCATCGGCAAAGGGGTTTCCACCTAAACCGATGCTCTACTCGATATCGGAAGGGCAAGAGCTCGAATCCCCATCGGGATTCAATTATCCCTGTCATCGTTGTCGCTCCGGGGTGCATGGGATGAGCAGCAACCACATTGTGGAAAGCCAACAGTGGGCACCCAACGAAGACCGCTGACCCCCTCCGAGCCTGCCAGTGGAGAAGATCACCGCCCAACACTTGCGTCGGGCTCTTGTTGTCGTTTGACTTGCATCCCACTGGGATTTTTGCACACAGCGTTGAATTGCGGTGTTTTTTCTGGAAGACTTTGCTGTTTTTGCGCTGGATTTTTCTGTTGCGCGTAGTCACTTTAAGATGTTTCTTGTTCATGTTTTTGTTTGTTGCCGTTGCACCCGAGTCAAGGGCCGCATGGCTCACAGGGCTATCCGAATAACTGAAAACTGAAATGAAAATGACGACGCGAAAGCTCTCTGATAACGTTTGCAGGAATCTTGTACAGGATTCGGATTCCCCCGTCTCTTGTTGGCCTACGGAGTCGCCCGGCGCTAGGTACACTCACCCTGAGCGTGTCAACCCTGCCCCTCGCAGAAGTTGCCGACCTGCGGGGTCTGTGGGACCAAGGGCCACGTGGCGAACGTCTGCCCGTTCCGGCTGTGCCCCAACTGCCACCGGCCTGGCCACGTCCTCTCCGACTGCATCGAGAAGCCGGGGCACTACAAGCAGTGCCACCGCTGCTGCATGACGGGACACTACGCCGACGTGAGTGGCAGCGTCACACGCTCGCACACGCTCGCTCTCTCATACAACAACAACAACCGCCATTCACTACAAGTGGCGGTGACGTCACCACGACGCTTGTGCCAGGCTATGTGCATTTTAACGTGAAGCGTCGAACGCCCGCTGGCAGGAGGTCACGGGACAGACCCGGGTGCCGTGGGTTGACTGACCGAGATGATTGGCAGTGGCAACACCTGTGCCATCTTGCTGTGTTTTAGCCACCTGGTCCTCCGCTCGTTGTTGTGAGCTAATATACACACACACATACACCCATATGAACCAATACGTACATACACCCATACACACACATAAACACACACTGACACAAATATGCTCTGACACCGCAGCTGTTAATAGCCAGGCTGAGTGAGTACCTGCTTACGAAGGTTAATGGGGATTGATTCCATAACACATTGGCCTACAAGGTGGCCTCGGACTACTGGTGTTGCCGGATTACGTCTTGATACCCCTACTTAGACGGAAGAAATGTAGCATGCTGGGGGGGGGGGGGGGTTATTGCCACCCGTGCCGACACGACGCCGTAAACCCTGGAACGGCGCACGAGCGACTGACGACGAGGTGAAGGCTTGGGGGGTTAGGTGCTTCGGGTGTGAACTCTTCGTCGCGAAGCACTGTGGAAGACAATCTTCGTGAGTGTCCACCGGGCGAGCGCTGCTGGTACAGAGCGCTTGACTCGCAATCGGAATGTATCGTGAATGTAAATCGCCGTCCAGGGTTTCGCCTCTGGGCCCACCGTCCCTTTGGAGTTTTATCAAATAAGCGCCGATGTTTGGAGAAGTAAAAAACGTCAGTTATCGGGTACTGCATAGGGAACAGGCCGCTGCCATAGCAATGCCACCACCGGATCGGGGTCGCTAATGTATTGTACCGCCCCGTGCTTGTTTGGCTCTGCATATCCGCACGCACGCTATCGTACCGTACGCAGGCAAGCGTGCTAATCGGAGGTTTCGGGGGAAGGACGACAAACTGAATACAAAAAGCAGTGCTGAAGAAAGTTGGTTTCAATCTCGATATGAAAGTGCGAAGCTCCGGTGGCTTCTCTGTTGTTGGAAGGAAGACCATTCCAGCAAGGCCGCCTAAGCACATCTATCGGTGTGCACTGTTGCCATTGATTGCAATGACCGATGTTAGCAATGGCTGTGATGTCTGTACTTGTTGTTAATTTCCCCCCACGTTTTCCTGATTGTGCACCGATTCGCGAGACGAATAATCCATCCGGGTTTCTCGCAGAGAGGGGTGAAACCCTTCGTGTTAGAGAACAGCCCACAGAAGCGGAGATCACAGAGCTACCGCTGAGATCTCTTCTGTTGACCTCTTTCTGTACACGGGCGGGGGGGAGGGGGCTGCGTTTTCCCCACCCGGTCTGCACACAGGAGTAATGTTTGTCGCGCGACAATCAAACCGATGTTTTTAATTCTCACAGCTGGAGTTGAACCAAATTAAGTGCAGAACCAGATTTAATGTGATTATTTTTTTTGCGCAGTCATTGTTGAGGGGGGGTGGGGGGGTGGCCGAGAGACCGTGAGGCATAGCTTAAGCGATCCACCACTGGAGCGCGACGTACGCGTTGTGATGCTCGACGCGACCTGCCGTTGCGATCTCCTCCGTCGGCCCAGCACTCCTGTGCCGATAGCACGGTTCCCCAACACACTTTTATTAGTTTCTTCCAACAAATGCCGGCTTTCTTCAACAACAAAAAACAAATGTGTGCCATTAAGGAGCACTTGCAAACACTCATTAAGGGTGTTAGCCAGAGCAGGCCATTCCTAAAAAGTCTTGATGCTGTCCTGGGTAAATAATTGTTGCTATTATTAATGGCTTTTAAAATCAAGAGACCGAGGTCAAGAGGTCATCATGGCCAATGCCGTTGATGCCACCACTCCTCTCCATCGTGCCGTGGTTTGTGGGAAATCTGACATCCCGGCCGTCAGGGTCCGCTGGTACAGTGTCTCACAAAGTGGCTTTTGGGCTTCCCTTCCAGCAAACGTACACGACCAAGATTAAAATGTCTACCTTCTGCATATTGAGAAAGATTAGGGGTGTGGTCGGTCTGGAGGCTTGGTTGACCATACTTCACCACACTGGTCATTGTATGTTGGAGATGATGACGACGATGTTGATGCATGAGAAAGGAGAGACAGTGCTCAAGTGGTAAATTCCATCCAATCGGAGACGGCCGTGGCCACGACGTGACTGACAGCGGCGCGCAGACCACGGCGTGCCGATGCCCGCGGCTGTGATGAAGGGAACAGTTTAGTTCTTGAGAGATGGGAAGTTGCGCCAACTTTCGTCAAAGTAAAGTAGATTTTTTTTTCCTCCTTAACGGAACCCAGCGTGCGAGGGTGACGCTCAGGTGCCATAGCGCATGCCCCTTCGTCCGTACTCGCACGACGAGACGAGAGAGCGAGCGCGCGCGCGCGAGATGCCCACCCGCATTTGCATGCGCGCCGTGATTGATTGCGGGGAATTTATATTCATGGTCGCGTCCGAGAGAGCGCACGGCTAATTTGTGTACATCTGAAAGTAAAAAGCGAATTTAGCGGCGGCAGCGGCGGCAGCGGCGGCGCAGCCGCCGGTTCGCAGCGCGGCGCCGTGCGGCAGGCCCCGGCACTCGCGAGCGTTAAGCGGCACTCGCCAGCGATAAAAATGATTAAAGGCGCGAGGAAGGACGCTGAGGTGTGGACGGGGGGGGGGGGGGTGAGGCTGGCAGCAGGAGGAAGATGGTGGAGAAATTCTCCGCGCGGAGATTCTGGACTATAAAGTGGGGGGGAGGCGGCACGATGGGGGGGGGGGGGGGTTGTTTGCCGCGTGCCAGAATGGCTGCAAACGTGGAGACGGATCGGAATTAAGGGGAGAGAATTTTTAAGAGCCGGTTTGAAGATAGATGCTTTGCTCCTGGCCAAGTTGATTTGAACAGCAAAAGAAGAAAAAAACACTACTTGAATGATTGTTCAGATATCCCCAAGCCAAACACTTCAGGAGAGTCTGAATAAGTATTTTTGAGTAAGGAAAACAAATCGTCGTCCTCTTTTTTTAAATCACGAGCATGGCACGTGAGATCCACGTTTGTTTAGGCATTAATCTCTCTGTGCCCCGTTTTGTTTTGCATTTTCACTGTTTATAGTTTTTTTTTTGTCAGGGGCAATCGTTTTTGTGATCCACATACAGGTAGGACTCCGTTGACGTCTGGGGATATATAATAATGTCATGATTTCCAATAGATAAATACAATTTGAAGACTAAAAGGGCACTTTAAAAAAATCTATAATTGGGCACACGGATAAAATGCAACTTCATATAATAAAACATTTCCTATCGTAAACAGACTTGTGCTTTAGGCTTCATCCAGGAAACACCTTCACAAATGTTGAGGATTCAGTAACGAAATGAAACTCCAACGCTAAAGAATACATCGGAGAGCAGTGACAAAGACGACCTCTTCCTGTGAATGTCCCACAAAGTAAGTACAATGACAATGAAAAACAACAGTGGTATTAACTCAACAGAACTGGCACAGAAAAAAAACGAAATTCCTCTCTCTGAATTCCAGGATGTAAATTGAATAAATGAAGTCAACGTGTGTTTGCTTCTGGCTTACCTCTCAGCCACTCGACGTTACAGACACCTGAACAGATGCTTCAATTTTAATAAATGCTTAAGAAAGGGGAAAAAAGCGGCAGTGCTTTAGAATCGCGTGCCATTAATTGCGCCGGATTTGCATACATCGGGAATTGCTCATTAATGCCAGTGGAGATGGCTCCGAGAGAGAGAGAGACGTGGAGAGAGTGAGTGAGAGCGTGAGTGAGAGCGTGCGCAAGAGTGTGGGCGGGAGTGCGAGTCAGTGTCCGCCAGAGTGCCTGTGAGTGCGAGCGAGTGTGCGTGAGTGAGAGTGCGAGTCAGTGTCCGCCAGAGTGCCTGTGAGTGCGAGCGAGTGTGCGTGAGCGAGAGTGCAAGTCAGTGTGCACGAGAGTGCCTGTGAGTGCGAGCGAGTGTGCGTGAGTGAGAGTGCAAGTCAGTGTGCACCAGAGTGCCTGTGAGTGCGAGCGAGTGTGCGTGAGTGAGAGTGCGAGTCAGTGTGCACCAGAGTGCATGTGAGTGCGAGCGAGTGTGCGAGTCAGTGTCCGCCAGTGTGCCTGTGAATGCGAGCAAGTGTGCGTGAGTGAGAGTGCGAGTCAGTGTGTGCCAGAGTGCCTGTGAGTGCGAGTGTGCGTGAGTGAGTGTGCGAGTCAGTGTGCACGAGAGTACCTGTGAGTGCGAGCGAGTGTGCGTGAGTGAGAGTGTGAGTCAGTGTGCACCAGAGTGCCTGTGAGTGCGAGCGAGTGTGCGTGAGTGAGAGTGCGTGCGAGTGTGCATGAGTGAGAGTGCGAGCGAGTGTGCGTGAGTGAGAGTGCGAGTCAGTGTGCACGAGAGTGAGAGTGCGAGGGTGAGGGTGCGCGTGAGGATGAGCACATTTCTTTCCCCTCCACCCCAGCTTTGAAAATGATTTTTTTTAATGCAAATTTCTTTAACGACCATTAAGCAATAGGAAACACACAATCGTGCTAGGTGGGGGATCTCATTTTCATCTTCCTAATTCGCTCTTTTTTTTCCCCCACCACTCTTACTCGTTTTTTTAATGCGCCTTATTTGCCCACAGTAAGGCAGGCAGAGCCATTACCGGCGGCCCCTATCAGCCGCCGGAATGGTTTAGAAAAGCATTCAGCCTCGCGATGCCTTCCTTTTACTGATCATTTAAACGCCGCATTAAACCCGCGCTTTCCGAGACTGATAATTATTTTAATGTAATGAAAATATTATGGAAATGAATATTGTAAGATCTGCGGCTTGGTGGTGGCTGTGGTGGGGATTTTTTTTTTCTTTCTTTCTCCCCCCCCGAAGCACGCGGGGGAGTTTTGTTGTTGTTGGCGCGTAATGTCTGGGCCCGCAATGCCGTTCGCGCTACTAATTGTCCATCCCACAAT